TTCATCATTATTGGCAATGCATATTCATCAGTTTAAGTCACTCGTGAGACAACTGAATTACATTAATATGATATTTACCTGTTCGAGTCATATGTAAGATAATTAATTTATTAAAAAACACATCAATTTGGTTCTATAAATGGTTTGATAAAATAATCCATAACAATATTATGTTACCATTAATTACTATTGATATATCCAAACAACTTACTTAAAGGTATTATTTTTATCAATTTCAGCTGCTTTAGGTGCTAATTCTTTCTGGGCAAAATCGAAAATGGTCTTCCTCAACTAAAACAATAATATAACCAGATAAAAATTACCTTTATAAATTATATCTAGTAAATATAGTACTTTTAATTAAAAATTTACCTGAACCTGATCCTCATTTAATCCAAATATGTTATCATCTATGTCATAATATTGAGATGCACATCTTACAGTTAATATGAAACACGATTCGAACATTTGTTTAACAATTTAGAAAACCCTTCAAGCTTTGCAGAGCCATTTTTATTATTAACTAAATAACTTTCATACATGTAAGAGAAAACGTTAACATAACGATTGCGAAATAAACTGTACTTCTCCGTTGTCAGTGTGTAATTTGAAGCTTAAATGACAACAGTTTTAATTTTTCAATACATGTTTAAATTGGACTTACGGGCATGTGATATTCATGAAATTTGGAATAACAATATCTGAGGTCATCTAAAGTCAAGGATAAATGCTTATCCCCCTAATTTTTAGGCAGGCCTGTCAAACCTTTTTTAGATTTGGATCAAAACTTGTCCTAAATATAAATTATTAATATTGTTGTTAAATTCTTTTTTTGCAATAACATTTATTTGAGACACAAATAATAACAAGCTTTTTTATTTCTTATGACAGAAGTGTTATAATTTTTGGTTGTTGATATATTTTTTATATTGTTGCAAATTGGACGTTTCAAATTGAATGCAACGCTAACTTCATGCGGTTTTTCAAACGTCATTTTGATTTGAATTTAAAATGAAATAGAACATTATATAACACTCTTTTTATATTTAAACAAATAGTATCTTGTGATCAATCAGTTAATATCAATAATTTTCATGTAACATTTTGTTGAAAATTTTATATAATATGTACATAAGATGTACTAACAGATTTTTTATTTATTAAAATTATATATCATCATGTATGATCTGTCAAACAAACGTTTGGAGTAAAGAATTCCAGTAAAAATTTTCACTAATAGGTCCATAACAGTTGATTATCTATTAACTTATTTAACAGTTGGTTTATTTGTGTTTAATTAGTGTGAAAAATAACAATAACGTGTGATCTTTTTCTACATATAGCAAATCTTTTATCTAAGCCTATTATCATCCAGCAATTATATGATATAAAATGTTTGCTGATGATAATGGGCTATTAATAAATAATTATTTAGATAATAAAATATTTTATTATCTATTATATTTATTATTTATTAACTGTGAATAATTTCTATAATTTTATTAATTTTCTACAATCAATCAACTGTGACAGGGTTGTAACAAATCTTTTATGTAAACAAAGTTGCACAATATATTTAAAATGTATTTTTAGTTTAATGTTGAATAAATATTAATGTCTAGTTATTGACTTTAATATTATATGTTATTATAGTTGGAATAATTTACTATCCAAAAATACTTTAATACAGATCAATGAATTCAAATAAAACTTTTAAACGAAATAGAGGTAATACAAAATACTGCCTTTTAAAATAAAATATTGAACTAAATTTTCAGTTTTATAAAGGTTTTCTTTTATAAACTTTTTTGTTCGTTTTAGTCAATTTATATAACAAAATATAAAATATTTATCAATCTGTTATGTTATAAAATTTATCTTTCATAAATATTTTTTTAGTTATTTTGAGTAAAATTTGTTCAGACTTTATAAATATTTTTATATTATTTTTACTAAAATTATTTAAATCTTTAACAAAATGAATTTTGAAATCTTTAATAAAAGAAAATGTTAGAAAATAATATAAAAATTCTTCCACAGATTAATAAAGGTTATTCACACCTGCTTTTTTGACCACATGTACATTGTTTTGAAATTTTAACATTATAGATAACCTAATTATAAATTTATGTATTTTAATAATATAATATTATAAAATATCACCAAGAAAAATTCCAGGAAATAAATCTTGAAAATTGAAAATGAATTTTTAGAAATAAAATTAATTTAAAACAAAAGTATGCCTCTTTTATTTTTAAGAAATTTATTGAAGCATTAAAATGCTGTGAGTAGATTATTTTTGTACATATATTTATACGGTAACCCTAACACAATTCCACTGGACAAATGAATTATACTGCACAGAATAAGTTCAGAACTTACACAAAGACACTAAAGTATTTTTTAATTTTTACAATATTTAGACTAACTTCTGTTAAATCTCTAAAAAAGCCAAATATTATACATAATTTATTTTCTTACTCACATAATTTATTGATTAGATCGACATAAAACATCTACCTCTATATCTATATAAATCTCATACTATTATATATTCATAATTTATATACATTTTGTAGATCAGTTCAGTGTTTATACATTTCACTTCACAGCTCCATGTAAAATCGAAATATAAAAGAAAATTCAATTTTTAATATTAAAATATATTGGTAACACTAATACCAGTATATTAATATTTTTGTAATCATAATAATAAAAAAAAGTCTATTAAGTCCAAAAATTATTTTCTTTTTCCAATTTATTTAACTTGCCTATTTGGATCATGTTTTTTCCTCAAGTAGTTTGAGGGTAGCCTGGAACATATCAGGACATGGTTTCAGAGAAGGAGTTTCATCCTGATATGGTGGCAGATCACATAATTGCCTTCTCATTGCTAAATCTCGTCTTGCTGATAAAGCACGACAATAGTGAATGGAAGGATTGATTGAAAACAGTTCTTCACGAGCTTTAGCTTTTTGTCTGCTGGCCACCTGTAAATAAATAATATTAAAACTCTAGTTTGGTACAAATAGTTATCTATAACAGAGTAATCTATATAGAGAATAATTATTTACTCTTTACATTCAATCAACATATAATAGATCTTTTATCATGGATTTTTATTACTAAATAATATCATTCTTACAATACTTTAAAAAAAATACTAACCTGCATGGATGCAATAGGATGTAGTATAACCGAAGCTTGTATTTTTGGAGGCTCCAACTTTTGTCTTTTCTTCAACTTTTACTCCATCAACATCTCCTTCATTATTGCTATCTACATTATCTTTGCTCTTTTTCAAGCTATTTTGATAAGTATCAATATCTTTAAGTATTTTTGATGCAAATTCATGTCCTGCCATTTCAATGGATACTCCAACTCTGAGTAAAATTTCTTCGTATCTCATCTCAAAGACGTTTGATGAATTTTCACCCACACCATCAGGATTTGAGGATCATTGTAATTATTTTGATTTGAAACTGATTTTGACTTAGATTCCTGAACAAGACTCGCCCAGTCTACTCCCAAAACATCACTAAGACCTGCATTGAATAATTGGATTAATAATTAAATTATTATTAACACAAATGCTGAAATTCTTACCCTTAGCTTTTGTTTCTTCTTCAAGCTCCTCATCAGATATTTCTTCAAAATCTAGACTGTCCATGACATCATCCTCAGGAGCAGCCACAGCATTTCCTTTAGAATTGCCTTCATTATCATTCAAACCTTTTAATGCACTGTCGCTGCTATTCAAAACCTTCATACTATCACTTGCAATATTCGAAGGTTTTGATTCATCATTTACTGAACTCTTAGTATCATCTTTCACAGCACCAACAAGATTTATTGTTGAAGATTTTGGTATAGTTTCACTTATTTTAGGAGTAACAGAAACAGGTTCTTGTTTTATTTTAGTGCAAGGATCTGCTTGAGATGTAACACTCGTAGAGATTTTATTATTGCTTGCTGTTTCTTGTGGCTGGGGTGAGTAATGCACATCATCTTGATCTTCACTCTTAGTAGACGCATCAGGAAGTTCCTGGATAAAAAATTCTATTGTAATAAGTAGTAGAACTGATATTTTTTTAATTGAAAACAAACAATTAATACAATCAATCACAAAGCTTCAATATACATTTGATAATTGGATCAGAAAGTACAATACAGTTTTAAAATAATTAAAGACTTAATGAATTACTCAAAATAATATTGGCAATAATATAATATAGTTAATATAATTAATAATGCAATATGTAGTCTTCAAGTAGCGTTATAGAAATAAATATATAAAATAAATAAATAAATTGAAAACGCTGTAAGCTTTGAAATTCTATCATCCATTTGTCAAAATATTTAATAATTATCTCAATCAATTTCTAAAAGTACAGAAAAAGAATGCACTTGTAAATATTGCATTAAAAATATGGCATATGCATTTTTCTATTAATCAGGATATAATCAGGATGCATATTTCTATTAATCAGGATATACTCAACAATAAAGAAAAAAAAATACATTTAAAACATTTTCATTCACCATACCGATTATAATAAAAAATATCAGATTGCTTATAAAAAAATAAATACAACTGAATTCTTATACAAGTAAAAAAAAAATAGTGCAAATAATGGTAAAGTAAATTACATGCTAAAACAATAAAGCAATCAACTGATATTCGTAATAAAGTACAAATATATTTAATACATATCCATTCAAAAAGAGAACATTCACATGCGCCGTTTATATTTTTGTCTGTTATCTTACTGGTTCATAATCTGGACGAAAAAACTTGAGTTAAATTCAAATTTATTGAACTATTTTGTGTAGGAAAATTTGTTTTAATGTCATTCAAAATTGGAGAACGAGAATTCGGATCTGGCATTTGAGGCGTCCAACTTTCTTCCTCAACCTATGTGAAATTAATATAGTTTGTTCTAAATATAAAACTGGGAGAAGATATGAATAAATTCTACTCCTAAATTGTAATACATAGCCATGAAAAGAACATGTTAACCTCATTAGTTTAAATTTTATGCTTTTAGTGCTAAGATCTAATCTATCATAATAATATCAATATATTAAATGTTTCCTTTAATTTTACTCACATCTTCTCGATTCAGTATCTCATCAGCATCATCACTGATTTCACTTAAATCATCTTCATCAACTAAGCTATCTCTTAATTCAACACTTGGTCCAGAGCATCTTTTCTTTGCATCTTCAGGTCGTGGGTTTTGCTCGCTAATTTCATCTCTTAGTGGCCTCTTCAGATTCTGTTCTTTGCTTATTGTATTACCCAAAGAAGTCTTAGGCTTTATTGAACTTTAAACTGATGGCGATTCATGGCGGCGATATGGATGTTGTGACTGCACTGGTAATGCATCCATGTCACCTGAAACCAGAAATGTATGCAATAAAACTGGATAAATGAAACAAATATGTATGCTTTCATAATGCATAAAATGTTGTGGCATAATGGATGAATAATGGTTATGATAAAATGTACCTCCAGCAATTTGATGTCTTTCTCGATCTTGTGGCCATTCTCTTTCCCAGTTTCCACCCACTGCTCCTCTCGGTAAGCCACGATCTCTTTCCCGGTCACATAGAGGATCTCTCTCCCTTTCGTGATCTCTTTCTGGTAGTGATTGTCTGTGATGTTGTTCTCTTATATCTCGATCTAATAAAAATATAATATCTACTATTAACCTCATTTAAGTGTATAGTATATACAACTAAAAAAAACTTTGTATCAATCTTCACATATGACATAGTAGTATAGTTGTTCTTGATATTATTTTATAACTATCATCACATGAATCTGAGTTCATAGTTTTCTATAAATATCAATTATATTCTTCATAAAAAAATCATATTTGCTAATTTTATGTTATGTTATGATGTTCCAAGTCATTCTGAATCAAATGTGACCAAATTTGGAAAAAATATGTTATATATGCTGTGTATGTGAAACGATTTTTGACCTTTTGTCGACGTTTTCTCAAAAACGGCTGGACCATTTCCATAAATTTAAAAGCCATTCGATGTATTTCGATAAGTATTAGCTTTTATCAGTTTTGTGCGACGATTGGCCAAGCCGTTTCTTTGTATTTAACAGAAAAATGTAAGTTTTTCGTCCGCGTTTTAGCTCACAATCTTGAATCGATTTTACAAATTCAGAAAATGTTTGAAAGATAATGGTTGGGATAATGGCTGGTAAGTTTTTGGTAGAGATCGGTCGGGCCGCTTCTTGGTAATTAAATGTTAATACTATTTTTCTTGGTTTTGATGAAACTTTTGTATAAAGAGAGATTTCGTAGTCTAAAATATTAAAAAAAAAAAAATATTAGAGTATTTTTGTATAAAGAGTTTGTATAAAGTATTTGTATAAGAGTTTTTATAAAATATTATAACAAAATATTAGAGTATTTTCGTATAAAGAGAGATTTCGTAGTCTAAAATATTATAAAAATCAATTTCGCCGTGAGCTTAAGTGATTCTAATTAATATCTATGCCGAAGCATATGCACGTTCCGTGTTTCGTATGTACTACTGATTATAGTTGACATTTACACTCAAATAACATTCATTTTTAGAACCAGATGTGGATAAAATAAAATGTGTTAAACAAATTAATTTTATTTATACAATTACAGATATTATAGGTATGTTTAAAAGACAGCTTTTAGCAAAAGAGAAAATTTTATTTTCAAATAAACAATTGAACATTTTACCTAAATAGTTGAATCTCAATTCTTATTGATTTATTTCTAAAGATTATAAAACATATTAACTTACCTGGCCACATTCTATGATCATGCAATGAATCTCTATCTCTATCTGCTTCATAGTGACCATGTGGTGGAGTCCATCGAGAGCCCTCCATAATCATCGGCGAACGCTAAAATTAATTTCACATTAAAAAACGACCAATTTTTGTAGAATATTACTATGAATACAGTAAGACTTTTAATCAAACTATTTATCATTACCTCTCTCCAGTCTCCCATACCAGCCATATGTCTTGGAGACATAGTCTGAGACATGCCACGTCCTCCTGATCTAGATCTGTTATCTCGCGATCTTTCGCGATCCCAATGATGTATAGATCTTTCATCTGAAATAAATAAATTCAATCACAATTAAAAAAAAACAAGATTTAAAAAAACATTGCAAAAGATTGCATTGGATAGATCACCTGTAGTTTCGATGCGCCGTTCATCATATCTATCAACAACATATATCACAATCCTCACGTCTTCTGTCTCTCTCAAATGGACTGCTGTACCCTATAATAAAAAATTATAAATGAAATATAAGAATTTATTAAGTAATGACGACTTTAACTTTATTATGTTAACCCTAAGCTGCAGTTATTTTGAGAAGTCTTTTCCCTAGCATCAATCTAACTCACCATGTCTTCTGCCAGCAACTGCTTGTGGATCACCTTCTAAGCCATCATCATCATAGGGTATTCCCATAGCCCCATCATAACTAACCCTATCTCTATCACGATCTCTATCGCGCTCTCTATCTCGTTCCCTAACAACTATAGGAGGAGGTGATCTTGGTGATAGCGGGGTACCCCTTCGCGTCTGATGATGATGGTGATGATATGCAGCACTTCCATTGTTGTTGCCACCAGAACTTAGATCCCGAGAGCTATCCTCTCTATAATAAATAATAATACTTACATATTGCAAAAAAAATTACTTGATGAATTTAAATATATTAACCTGTCTCTGTGGCGATCACGACTAACACCTCTCAATTCTCTAGCATGTGCTCTATCCAATGCTGCCAATTTTTCTGTGTTACCTAGAAATTGAAAGTTTATTTTCAATAAATATGTAATAAGATTACATGCATATTGTGCATTTTAATATGCTCTATGTTAAAGAAAGTCATTTTTTATTAAATAAATGTATTACTACTTAGTATTTTTTTACCTGTTGCTTGTGCCAATGCTAAAGCTCTCTCTCCTGGTCTAGGAAGAAGTCTGGGTGCAGGTTTATCTCTATCAGGTTTATCAAGTCCGCCGCGGGATCTGCCTCTTGCATTTCGTTCTAGAGTAATTTAATACAAATTATTATTATTAATGAGATAAAATACAATGGTGATATTCAAAATATGCATATATTTCCAACATAAAAATATGTATTTATATAAATATAAAATATTGAGTGCGATCATGCTGAAAGGCAGACCAGTGAGCTCAATTAAACTGAGGTCCTGGATTTTCACCTTGTATCCTGGGTTTTTCGGAAAGGAATATTTGTCCCGGATTTAGATGTTCTGTCCCGGGTTGTCCAACAAATATTCATTAATATATATTTATTAAATTAAATATTTGCAATAACTTTATAATAAAATTATAACAACCCAGTATGCTAACAGTATGCTATACTGAGAAAATGGCCAAAATTCCAAAATCCGGTTAATTAAGTTAAAAAGTCTCTCACATTAATAATCCCATACTTTCATTCTCAATTTTATGTAAATTACCAAAAATATGAAGAGAAACTTTTTGAACGCCTTGCACAAGTGCTAATTTTTACTAAAGTTAATTATAAAGAAAACATATATGATTTATTATAGCATATAATAAAATAATAAAGCCCTACTAAAAGCCAGTAATTCTTATTGGAAAAAACATTAATTCCACATTAAAAAAACTGATTTTACATCATATTTAAGATATTCAGCACAATGACACCTCCCCCAATCCCGGATTAGCAGAAATTAATGTCGTCTTCCCGGTTTTGGCTTTAAAAAATTTTTTTTAATTTTTTTTTTTTAATTTCAATAATTATTACAACTGCTAATTCATTAACATCAAGTAATATTGATAAATAATAATATAAATTTAAATAAATAAAAGAGCAAAGGATAAAATTTACATGAAAATAATATCCGTAATATGATTTAATGTAAAATATAAGCAAATAATAATAAAAATAAGATTAATAAATAATATAAATAAAATTTCAGAATAATAAAATAATACTAGAAAAATAATAATATAACAAATAACAATAATAGAAATAGTAAGATAATAATAAAAATAATAATAATAATAATAATAATAAAAATAATAATAGTAATAATAATAATAATAATAACAATAATAATAACAATAATAATAATAATTAATTAAACTACATTTCTATTTAACTCCACAGTGCCCTAAATGGCTATTTCAACTGCAAATATATTTTTACATCAAATTTTCAAGAGAAAATGGATATCACTACTGCCTGAGTTCAAATATTAAGCAATTCAATGCAGAGTAACTCATATGTGTATGCACACATATGTTTACTACTGTATATGATACAAATATATATTTTAATTACCTCTGGAAATCTCTTGTTCTCGTTTAGCAATCCTATCTCTTTCTCGCTGACGTTCTTGGCACCGTGCCAAAGCTTCCTCCCTTTCTTTTTCTCGAGCTTGTTCTCTTTCAATACGGTCCCTCTCTCTTCTATCTCTGTCTCTATCAGTGTCACGCTCATTATGTTTTCGGTCCTGCAATGGAAAATTCTTGTATAAAAGAATTTAAAAGTAAAGTTAAACATTCTAATTAGTTGTAATTGTAATATAATTACTTTTATTAAATCATTTCTTCGATTATTTCTATCAGAAGAATTTGGAGCTTGCTTCCTATCATCTCGATTTCTAGATGCATCATCTCGAGGAGGGGTTTTGTCTCTTCTGCTACTGCTTCCACAACCACTAGTTCTAGATTTGGCAGGTGAAGCCTTGAAATATAATTTTGTGATAAAGAAGTAAATATATTTAAATCAATTAATTAATAAAATAGTTATAACAAAGGGTTTATGGTTTATTTTTAAATGATTAATATAGATAAATTAATAATCATATTATGTGTAAAATTGTATTTTATCTAAATATTATATTTAGCTAGAAATTGATAACATTTATGCTAAGTATGATCTTACCTTTCTATCTAAGGAAGACTTTCTTTTCTGTTCTCTAGAATGGGAGTTTCTCCTTGCTGAGCTTGATCTTTGCCTAGTAGCATTTTTTACACTTCTACTTTCAGAAACTACTCTTGATGATTTAATAGCTTTTCTATCCCGACTTCTACCTCTTTGTTGTACTTTAACTTCAGCTTTACTTACTAATTGTAATTTTTCTTTCTCTCTCTCTTTTTCATGTCTTAGCTTATCTTTACTATGCAAAGAGGTGTTTTTTCGATCAGATTTTGGTGAACGTGCCAACTTACGTGACTGTGAAGTTTTTGAAATACTTCTTGATTTTTGAGGCGGCGTCAGTGAGCGTTTTCTTGATCTACTAATTGGAGAAATAGATTTCTTGCGTATGGTTTTGTCAATTAATTTCTTTTTTATTGAACCAGAGATGTAGATACTTTCATGGACTTAACAGCATGTTTGTGACCTGATTTCACAACCTTCACTGCTGGCTTCTTTTTGTGCCCAGATTCAGAAGAAGAACTGGATGCTCTTTTTGACTTTAGCTTTCGTTTAATCTTACTCTTCGAGATTCATGAGAAGTTGTGCTTGAACTGGAACTGGAATCATCTGAACTTGAACTGCTACCAGAGCTTGTTGCAGAGCTGGAAGAAGAAGATGTCGGAGACTTATGTTTTTTCACTTCTTTCTTAGCAACTACATTAATTGGCTTCTTGGACTCCATTTTCATCTGAGCTTCAAGTTCTCGCTGCAGTTGCTGTCTGCGTTTCTCTAGAGCATCAGCGTCAGCACACTCCAAGTCATTGTCGGTCCATTGTGAGGCTTCGGACTTTCCGGTTCCCGTTCGAACTACTACTGAAGAATGTAAACGTTTGTTAGGTTCCTCGCTTCTTTTGGTCGCAATCGATTCTTGCGGAATTTTGGCAGCCCTCTGTTTGGACGGGCTTATTAATTTATGTGTACTGGCATACTTACAAGATTTGCCATAAGAGCAAGTCCCTTGCTGCGCCCACTGCCTGCAAACTTTCGCCTCAGAATCAGTTTGATCTGGAGCTGTTTTCGGCTGTTTTTTGGTCCCTAATCGGTCAAACACGCTCAGTCGATTTTTCAACAATTCCTTCGCTTTAGGAAGTTCTACAGTGATTTTGCGTTTAACTTGTTTTGACATTTTATCCACATTTGATCACATTACACATTTCGCCATCAAATATCACAACGAAATATTTAAGTTTGATTCAGTTTCCAGCCATTTTGCTATATACCATAACGCTAACTGTCAAAGTGATAAACATTGTGAAGGTGCTGGCGCACATGACAGTTTCATAATGATTTTATTTGAAATTGTTATAAAATAATTAAAATTAAAACAAAACATGTCAATTCTTGTACAATTTACCACTTGGAACAGATCATTTTCTGTTTACGATATAGAATTAACTAATGACAGTTTGATTCGATATTTTTATATCGATATGTTGATTTCAATTATTATCAAAATTCGACTGTGCTGCCTCTATTAACCAAAAGCGAAAACAACTGTCAAAATCGCTGAATTAACGGCAACTGTCATCCATGTTATTTTAACCTTGTACAACGTAAAAGTTATCATTTAAAATTTAATATAAAATATCAATTATAGAGACAATAATACACAAAGTAAAGCTTTTTTTTTAAAAAAAGTGAACAATGTTTTATTAACTATCAAACTACTAACAAGATTTATAAACTAATTTACAGTCTAAATAGGATGATGATATTAATAAAGATATAAAGAAATAAACATGTCATTTCA